GCCCCTGCAGCTACCCCAGTATCCCATGGTGCCTTCAGGGCAAGAGGCGGGGCACGTGGCGAGAAGGCTACGATTAGAAGGGGTTCCCTCCCCCACTCCCCCCAACCCCTGCCAAACTAGCGGGGGTGGGGTGGGGGGGGTAATGACCACGTGGTTGGAATACGCGGGGCTTCCCCCCCAAGGGCTGAGCAGTTTCCCTCGGGGAAGGCGAGGGATGTGGCCACGGGGTTGGACTACACGGGGTTTCCCTGAAGCGCCCGTCTCCAGGCAATTTCCAGACTGGTGGAGCCGGAAGGGGCGGGGCGCTGCTTGGTCCCTTCCTCTCCCCCACTTCCTCCCAGCCTCGTGGTACTCTCTCCTGGCAAGCTTTCGAGGAGCCGCAGGAGGCGGTTGCACCCTTGGGCCCTCCCGGCCATCGGTCCCTGAGCCTTCGGGTCCCGATCCCCTCCCTCCCCCCACTGTGGATGGGCCCCTCGAGGCCCCGGCCCCTACCCCCCCAGGGCCTCCGTGGCCTGCCTGGTGTGTGGGTCCCGCAGACTAGCAGGTAGGCCCAGAAGGGGGGGGCGCTGAGGGGGGTGGGGGGCACTGAGGGGGGTGGGGGCCTCCTGGAGGTGGAGGGGGGCAGCGGAGAGCTGATTCGGGCCACGGGGAGGGAGGAGTCGGCAGCCTTAGATTGTTGGGGGGGGCCCGAGGGCAGGCAGGTGGCCATTTTGTCTGTGCTTAGGCCCTGGGATGGAAGGGGGAGTCAGCCCCGCTCAGGCACCGAGCCTGGGGTTGGGGTGGGGACCTCGGCTGCCCTCGGGCCTTGGGGTGGGGAGTATCAGCCCCCTGCCCCCCTCCGCCATGAGCTACTTGTTGGGAAGGGGGAGGTGGGGGGAGGGGGTTAGTTGATCTTGATTGTTCCTGGGCCTTGAACCTGTTGCTGTTTGTGGGTAGCCTGAGATCGGGGCGACCGTTCAGCATCGGGGGGGGGCCCGGCGGCGCCGCCGCAGCCATTTTGGATGCCTTTGTTCCCTTGTCTGAGGTTGGGGCTTTAGTGACCTTGACTGCCCTTGGGCTACCCATCAGTGTTTGTGTATAAATACAGGTTGGTGGGGGGTGTCTGTGGTTTTGGTTTCCTTGGGGCCCTGGGGTTGGGAGATAAGGTTTGAGGCCTTGGCTGCTTCAGGCCCTCAGCCTGGGGTTGAGGGGGAGAATTGGAACCCCTTTCTCTTGCAGATACAGTGTCACCTGGATTTCACTTCTGCATCCACTCCTGAGGCCCTTCTCGGTCTTGACCCACTGTGGTCACAGCTTTCTGGGGACCCAGGGGATCAAAACCGAGTGGGAACTCAGGACAGGCAACGAACAGGACACCTACGCCATCAGTCTTCCCATCGGCAAGCAGAACAGGAGAAAGAACCTCACACTGGGCCTTTTACCCCCTTGGTGGGGATGGGGTATGTCTGATCAGGTCTAAGGATCATGCAGAAGATGCGGGGGGGCACTACTACCTATCCCTTTGCTGGGCAGAATTTGGGACACAAACCTTCTTTGGGAGGGAGGCTGCTCTGCTCCTTGAAATGGCTCCCCCCCTTCACGTCTCTGGCCTGCCTCATCAGTCTGTAGAGAGAGAAGGCCCCTTGACCGGGGAGGATTATAGAACTTAAGAGCTGGGG